ATGCTTAACCAAAAGCAGAATGAAAAATAATTCATAGCTGGACCTAATTAGACTGTCAAAATTAGACTGTCTTGCTTGATCCCATTAGGTGGATGTGTTGAAACTAACCCATGCCCCCAACCTGCCAAAATGAAAGAGGTGTAGGGGTAGGAATGGGCACAGGTATAGGGAAAATTCTCTTAGCTCAGGTCAAGTAAGATTTTTCTGTAGAAGATAAATGGAAAGATGAGGAAAAAGGGAATTTCAAAACAGTAACTCCCCAAAAGAAGCTCATGGAAAAAGGCAGAATCCACTTTTATCCACATGTTACTGAATAACTGGGCTGGTGTATACTTCTGTACCTGGCAGACTTCCTTTCCCCATCAGGAAAACTAGCACACGGCAGTGTCCTTCCCAGGGGAGGAAGGTTCATACCCTTGAGCACTGCATTACATGTTCTGTCATCCATGGTGGGAAGTTCCACTTCCTGTAGGACATTTTAATGTTCTGATTCTGTAGAGAAAGGGCTGATAAGTTAGTCAATAGTTGCCCTCACTGAAACAAATTAGTAAGAAGCCTACAAGTTTAAAACTACTTCAAACAGATTTTTAACCAAATGCAAAAATCATCGTTTTTTAGATGTGAATTATATTCATTTCTAAAATCAGATATGTGATTGGAGGACATTTTTTTTTTTAAATTCAGATTTTTAAGGGAACACAGAGAATTATGCTGTTGTGGCTTCTGTTACTATATGCTTAAATGCTTCCCCAAGAGGAAAACTTTAGTCAATAAAGCAATGCTTGGTAAAATTATTTTAAAAAATCACAATGTATTTTTAAGCTTTATTGGGGTATAATTGACAAATAAAAATTATATATATTCAAGGCATAAAATGTGATGTTTTGATATATGTATACACCGTGCAATTATTACCACAATTAAGCTAATTAACAATCACCTCACATAGTTGTCTTCTTTTGTGGTGAAAATACTTAAAACTACTCTCAACAAATTTCAAGTATACATTATTATCAACTGTAGTCACCATACTGTACATTAAATCTCCAGAATGTATTCATCTTATAACTGCAAGTTTATACCTTTTTACCAACATCTCTCCATTCTCCTATCTCCCAAATCCCTGGTAATCGACCTTCTACTTTCAACAGTTTAACAACAACAACAAAAAAAAGGCAACATATTAAAGATAAGGGAGCTTAACTATTATTAATATTTCCTGATTATCCTTTTATCATGTTTTCCCTCACCTATCATAGTTACCTTCAGTTTCTTTATCTGACATATCTAACCAAAATGGCAGCAGCAGCAGCAGCAGGAATTTCATGAATAGCCTTAACAAACAGTATAAGACTTTTCTGTGGTAAAGATAACCATAAATATTCACTGGGACAGAAATTAGGAAGAAAAAAAAGTGTATTACTCAAGGTCAACAAAATTATTTCTGCTTCCACTGGGCAGGCAGAGACCTGGAAGAAGTATTAGGTACTTTCTGATGCCTCTTACTGTCTGAAAACGTGCCCCATCCACTGGCCTTGCAAAGAAGACCCACTTCGAATTTACCATCTCAATGAGGAAGACATTGGCTGAATGGCAGTTCCTGAAAAAACAACAAAAATGTCATGAGGTTCATGGATGGACACCCAGTGGTTGAATATACTTGGAAAAGTGACCGCTGGTTCTTTTCATGGCTTCAACATTTTCTTCCTAAATGTAATGTGACAGGTATTTTAAGTTTTCCCCCTCATATAAAACTTTTTCGTTTTCATAGAAATTTAGAAAACTGCAAAAAAAGTGAAACAAGATAAAACATAACCCATTGTTTTGCACACTACCATGACTGCCTCCCCCCCAGAAGCAAGGCCAGCTCCGCAGCCTCACTGCCCGGCCCCTACAGAGCCCAGGCTCAAACCTGAGTGGCCAGGCAGCCGTGCTGAGTAATGCTCACATGGCTTTGGCCAGGTCAGGGAGAGCCACCGAGAGCCAGGCGTGACATGGGGTGGGTGGGGCAAGGGGGGGCTGTCCCAGTTGGCTTCCCTTCAAGGTCAATTGGAGACGAGATGCCAACATTCATTGGCCTCCCAGCTGTGGGCTGTATTCAGATTCATTCCCATTGTACAGAGAAGGGGACCAAGGCCCCAAGGGGTAAGTAAAGGGGGCAGAGGGTTGTAGAGGGTGACCCTGTCATGGGGACCCATGTGTGTGTAGCCACAGCCATGATGTCTGCTCTCCTGGCATTTCTAGGCCCGGGGGTAACGGGATTGTTGAGTTCCCTTCTTCCGTGACAGGTTTTTTCCAAAATTTAAAAGCCTCATAATGGCCGGCCCGGTGGCGCACTGCTACAGTGAGCCGCTTGGGAAGCGTGGTGGTGCTCCCGCCGAGGGTTCGGATCCCACATACAGACCGGTTCCCGCTCACTGGCTGAGCGAGGTGTGGGAGCAACACCGAGGGTTGCGATCCCGTTGCCGGTCCCGGTCCGGTACGGGCGCGACACTGAGGGTTGCGATCCGTTGCTTGACACGAAAAAAGACAAAAAGGAAAAAAAACAAAAATAAAAATAAAATAAAATAAAATATTATGGTTATGGCAAGTCTCATTGAACATGTGATATTTGAGCAAAGTCTTGAAGGGAAGAAATTATGCAGTTATCAGGGTGGAAAGAATTTGATGAAGAAACAGAATAGAAATTCCTTGCAGCAGGATCATGCCATATGTGTATGGGGAACATTGGGGAGGCCAGGATGACTGGAGCAGATTAAACAAAAGGAAGTTTAATGAAAAATAAAGAGGTTAGAGGTAGGGCTGGGAAGGAGGAGATGTCAGAAGTAAGAACACTGATTTCCATCTGAGTGTAATAGGGAATGATTGAAGTCATTCGAGCAGAATGACATCATCTGAGTTACATTCTTAAAAATTAAGATTCTGGCTGCTAGGTTAATAATAAACATTAGGAATGCAGAAGCAGCAGCTGAAGATGATTTAAGAGACTATCAAAACTAACTCAGGCAAGAAACAATGGTTACAATGGAACAAGATGGTAAGAATAAAGCAGGCAAGGCAGAAGCAACTAGATGTAAAGAATAAACATTAGGAATGCAGAAGCAGCAGCTGAAGATGATTTAAGAGACTATCAAAACTAACCCAGGCAAGAAACAATGGTTACAATGGAACAAGATGGTAAGAATAAAGCAGGCAAGGCAGAAGCAACTAGATGTAAAGTGACGCATTGGATGTAAAGTGTCATAGAAAAAATAAAGGATAAGTCGAAAGTTTTTAGCTCAAATAACTTCCAGGATGGAAGTTGTCATTAGTTGAGATAAAGAAGGCTACGGGTAGAGCATATGTGGGACGTAGGGATAATTGGGATTCTGTTTTAAACGTTGTTTGAGATGCCCATTAGCCATCCAGATAGATGACCAGTAGGCAATTGGCTATATGAGTCTCATTAATTCCAGAAGCATATGTAATATAAAGAAACCTGGGCTATATACATCTATAAAATTTGGAGAAGTCTCCAGGAAGATCCAGGTTTAAGGCCTGGATCATGAATGAGATCATTAAGGCAATGAGCACAGATTGAGAAGCGGGGGATCAGGGCTGAACCCTGGGACACTCCAACAATAAGAGGTCAAGCAGAAAAGGAGGAATCATGATGGAAATCTGGGAAAGGGTATAAATTGGGTAGGAGGAAAATCAAGGGACTCCTGCAATCCACATGAAAAAAATATTTCCAGGAAAAGGGTATGGGCTACTCTGCTAAAAACTCCTAACAAGAAAAATGAGAATTGAGAGTTTTACCTTTGAATTTAGCAACATGGAGGTCATTAGTGACTGTGACAAAAGCAGATTTGGTGGGCTGGTGGGAGTTAAAGTCTGATGGACTTGGATGTCTAACAGACATCTCACACACAACACATCCGATTATGAGAACTGAAGAGGGGAAACCGACATAGCAGAGACAGCACTTCATAGAGTTTTCCTACAAAGAGAAGAAAAATGGGGCAATAGTTTCCTCTGATATATAATAATTCTTGTTTTAGTCTCAGTATTTTCTTCCTGCCCTCCTATTTGCCTAAAAGCAGGAAATTCTCAGTATTTTGATGATCTTATTCTACTGTCTTCTGACTTTCATCACTGCTGAGTCAACTGCCAGTCTAATCATTATTCCTTTTTTGGTAATCTTTATCCCCACCTCTAGATTTGTTTGAGATCCACTTTTTGTGTTTAGTGTGCTCCATTTCAGCACACTGAAACAACATTCCTATGTATAAAATTACTCTTAGTATCATAGTTGGAGTTACTGGGCTTCTTAAGTCTAAAGATTTGTGTTTCATTTATGGTTAACCCTCAGCTACTTTCTCTTTGTAGAGAAAGTGAAAGTAAATGGTCAGGGTCCCTTAGATGTTCAAGTGGAGCATTTGATGTAAATATGCGTGTGTGCCCAGGTGTTCCTTGGTTATTGTCTATGTAATCGTGCATGTGCACCCAGGTGTTTCTGGGTTGTCTGACTCGCACCCAGGTGTTCCTGGGTTATTGGACTTAAGTATAAAGATGAGTGGCTCTGATCCACAGTCCCCCCACCCCCCCAGGATGTCCCGGGGTAGGGGAGTGGGGGCGCTACTGTTGCTGGAGGCTGTTGCTGCAAGCTGTTACTGGCAAGGTCCCCCAGGATGTTGCTGCTGCTGCTGGCGCCACACTGCTGCTGAGGAAGCTGAGGATTGAGCTCGCATTGGAAAGGACCTGTCAACTCTGCCAACAGCTCCCAGGATCTTTCCCAATTACCTAGCTCCTGACCTGTATGTGAGGGGTCTGCTGATCCAGCCTGGAATGTGAGGGGTCTGTGACCCAGTCTGTGCAATGGGTTTGAAAGGTTTGTGAGCCCTAGCCCCACATTCTTAAATTATAGCATTTCTCCATTATCCATATTCCTTTCTTTCTTTTTTTTTTTTTTTTCCTTTTTGTCTTTTTTCGTGACCGGCAACGGATCAC